AATCTAAGCGAAAAGCACGCGTTGTACTACACGTATGATCTGCCTGCCCACACAAGGTTGTCCTTGGTCTTCAAACACCTAGAGGAAAATATGGATCGGCTAAACATCACGGACTACAGCGTAATGCCCAAGACTATTGAACAAGTGTTCATGCATATAAGCAAAAACGCGTAACTTTCGGAATTCGATTCAGACACAAATACTCACTGTCGAAGCAGGAAATCTGTCTGTATTCCTTTTGTTTAAAGAAATAATTTATTAAATTAATGAAACTGTGTTTCTAAAAATGTAAGTAAATAACAAACATTATTATCTATAAATAAACGTACCTAGAGTACTTGGATTAGACAGGGAGGCTGCCGCATATATATATTTTTTCTCACGTATGTCACTCTCTTTTCTTATGACTTATTATAAATTGCCTACTTTAATTACCCGTGGGAAAACGTCCTATATTTGAGGCCAGATCAAACATGTTTTGTCACCTCTTTTGTTTCCCATAAACTGGCTATAAAATAAAATACCCACACCATGCTTTAGGCTTACAGAACTATATTTTAATTTTTAAAAATGTCTTTCAGGAAATCTTTATCGAGATTAAGAGGAATAGATTCAGATTATAAATACTTAATTATATTTTATGTATTTCTCTTTTTTTTTAATCCCTATGTTATTATTTCTATCATCATAGGCCCTACAAATCATCACAATATTTAAAGTAGCCGACAGAAATATTGGCATGTCGCTTATACTAAACAATCGATGGCCTCTTGTTGACATTTGCCTCAATATCACCGATGAAATGTTTCAAGGTTGGTATAATGGGCGTCAATATCATAAAGGTGACATCACAGACATATTGGGTCGTGCAGAGAAGGTGGGTGTTCTTGGCGTTTTATTGGACGGCTCCAGTCTTAAGAATAGCAACACGGTCATTAAGATGTGCGAAGAGTACACCAGAACTACTTTAAAATGCCTATGCACGGTAGGTTGCCACCCCACACACTGCAGTGAATTTGACGCTGATCCAAACTCCTATTTTAACGCGTTGGATGAGCTTATTGTGAAGCATAGCGTCACTCACGGTGGGTGCGTAGCGGCGATCGGGGAATTGGGTTTGGACTACGATCGAACTTCGTTTGCTGCAAAAGAAACCCAGTTAAAGTACTTTGTAAAGCAACTTGAATTAGCTGAACGCCATGACCTGCCGTTATTCTTACACGAACGAAACAGCGGAGGGGATCTTTACAAAATCCTCTCTCAGAATCGTACTCCTACTACTAGAGGCGTAGTACACAGTTTTACAGGTAGTCAGGAGGATTTAACGGGATACCTTGAGCTCGGTTTATATATCGGCATCAACGGTTGCAGCCTCAAGACGCGCAATAACTTAGAAACGGTAAAACGGATACCCCTCGAACGACTTTTGATCGAAACCGACGCGCCGTGGTGCAGTTTAACCTCCACCCACGCTTCCTACGCTTTGCTAAAGGAGCGTGGAAATGATAAAGAAGGCGGAGCGTGCGTTTCCGATATGATGCTCTCACAGTTTCCTATTTGCCGAAAGGAAAAATACACCGCTGGAGCGCTTGTAAAAGGTCGCTGTGAGCCCTGTCATCTTGTGCGTGTGCTGGAGGTACTTTATGAGCTACATCGTGAAGATGTAGCATCAATTGAGGCACTTGCGGGAATTATCACGAATAACTGCAAGCAACTATTTCCCTTTTGAATCTATATAAAGAATTACTTCCCTTTGCGGTGGTTAATTTTCGAGTGTGCGTGAGGGGAAGGAGGGATGCAGAAGAATGGGAACATTTTTCCTATTCAATAAACTTTTTTTTTTTGAGGAAATAATACCCATTTCTTTGTTCTTTTATTGAACATGTAAGGATCCTGACGTGCTTTAACTGCGCTACCGCTGTTTAAAACAATTAAAAAAAAATCATTCTGTGAAATCGTATAGCGACCTTTCACATGGCTGGTTGATCTCATTTGATCCATTTCATTGTCATCTCTCTCGATACCTATAGGGGGGGGGGGGGGGGAGGGGATCTTGTAGACCACGCATGGACCCTTTTCTGTAGTTTAGCAACCCAATCTTTTCCCTCTGTAGATGTTATTCTAGCACAAAAAAAACACCCTCTCTTTCAGGGCACCTTTGATGAACTTAGAATAGGTTACAGAACCGTCATGGAGCTGTTACATCTCGTACATACATTAGTTTGAGGCTTAAAAAAATGAATGCGCATTGCGGATGCAGGATGTGTAAATTTATCTTTTTCTCTCTCTCTCTTTAAACCAATAGGTACATCTGGCGTTATCCATATTTTAGGGTTTGCTTTATAGAACATTCGGATAAATTATAAAGAAATTAAAAAGGAGAATCGAAAAGGGGAAATGTCGGACACGTCTAATTCCACTTGTGCTTCGCCTTCTGAAAAAATGCCGGATACCAGCATTATGCTAACCGCGGAGCTCAAAGTTCATATTGAGCGTTGTGAACGCCTCATAAGACAAGAAGCTTTGTTAGAGCGTCTTCCTGATAAGGGTGCTGGGGTTAAACATCGCTATAATGCATACCTAGCAGAGATGGAAATACGTGAAAATCTGCAGAAAAAACAAGAATTTCAAAGCGGTAATATAAATGAGGAAAAAGAGTATAATAAAGCTCCGGTGGGAGTATCTCTTGAAAATGATAAGGCTCACTCTCCTAAAGTGAGTAATGAAAAGGACATGATGCGCATGGAGACAAATTACGCTACGCATCTTCGTATTATTGAAGAAAAATACAACGACGTTAGAATTCCTGTCGAGAAAATTGTGCGTAGGATGTACGAAGGATCCTTGAAAGAGGCAGAAATTCAGCGGATTTTGAATGACATGCCGCCGAAATACTTTTTAACGCATAGGGAGACGTGTGAGAGGGCAAGAGAGATGGCAAAACGGACGCGAGAGAAAGAATTACAAAGACTTAAGCAGCAGTCATCATTTTAAACAGTAAAATAGTAAGTTTAACTATACCTATATATATATAGTAGGATGAGATACACAGAGGATATGTTTTACCCTTCTAGCTCATAGGGAGATTGTACTTCTCAGCTTTTCAGTAGGCAAAAAAAAGGATAGAGAACGATAAATAAGCACCGCATTTGGATGATTGTGCTATAATCGTTTCTCTAATGATGCTTCTAAGCTTTTTAAGCACAGAGTTTAAGAAAATTGAAAAAGAGCGGGTCATTTGCGTGATTTCGCACTTGGCATTTGCAATTCAACACATGCAATAGGTTGCTGCTAGTGAGTCTAACATATTTTTTAACAGGCCCGAAATCTCATTCCATGTAGTCATCACCCTATTTAACCATAGTCTGAAGTGTAAATTATAATATCCAATCTTTTTTTTCTATTTGTCGTTGTTTCGAAATTGAACGATGTGGAGAAGGAATAAGGAAGCGATAAGACATGTGTAAGAGTTTCCCGTTTAGAAATTAATCCTTTGAAATCACAAACCGTTAACTTATCGACACATTTTCAGCTAAAACCTCCCTCTCTTTATTTTGATCTATTTCTTTGGACGCACCTCTTTGGAATCGTTTTCAAAAGGGTTAGTATCGAACCACCGGAAAGTACACCAAATTTAGCTAGGTGAGGTGAAGTATTCTTTTTTTTTTTAAGGGGGAGGGTAGTTACTTGTTTAGTTCCGTTTTTCCCTTAACCAAATCCTTAAAATATAAAAAAGAAGATGTGGTCTGTCATTCGCAAAGAACAAGGCCTCTCACCGAATGTTTCCGCCTACGACGAAAAAACCCCGCAGGATCGCCGTGCACTTCATCAACGTGTGATAGTTTTACACGAGACCCGGCCCTTCACGCCCTATATTAATCCCAAACTCTACACCCGCGCGTATGGCGACCTCAACTACGACAAACTCGCCCGATGGCTCCACGCGGACGATCCCGGGATGCGTTTGCAGGCGATTAACCATCTTATTGAGCTTTATACCGAAAATCGCGAGCATTGTGTGCGGAGTTTAAATTATGATTTATTGCCCGGGCTGATTGGGATGCTCGGGGGGGATCCGGTGGAGGAGATTCGCGGATTATGCGCGTCCGCGTTGACGATGTTGTTAAACGAGCCCACCACGCAATCCCGGGTGGATCGCGAGGGGTGGGTAAAATACCTTTCCGGTATTATCGCCGCGACGCGAGATCGCTCGGATGGGGTGGTGGTGCTTTCCCTCCGCGCCCTCGCTGCCTGCCATATTCATTATAACCATTTTTTACTCACGGAGCTGCTTATTACGGAACTTAATGGGGTAGAATTGGTGATGAAGTTAATTCAATCCTCCCCAAACGCGACCGTCCGCGCGGTCGCGTGCGGGGTTCTGACGAAAATGTTCGACGTCGGGGAGACTTTTGCGCGGTTCGCGCGCCTCCGTGGGGTTGAAATTTTAACGCAAACCATTTCCGAGGCCGCCGCGGAGGATGCGATGCTGCTCGCGGGCGCCGCCGAGGTGATTTCGCGCGGCTGCGAATGCCCGCCCTGCCGCCACGAGGCCGTCCATCACGAAACGATGAAAGTTCTTTTTCCCCACCTTGCGCATGGTGATTTGCTCGTCCGGGTCGCCGTCTCCGCCGCGCTCGCGCAGATTACACTTCTGGAAGAGGCTAAGATGCAGGCGTCGGATTGGCCCCTGCTGTTGGAGGCCGTTCTGAACGCGATCTACCAGGAAGTTGAGCGGGATGTGCTCGTTTTCTTGAGTAAATTTGTGTATAATATTGCGGAGTTCCCGAAAGGGCGCGCTGCATTGCGGCCATGTCGGAGTCATATCGAGAAACTTTACGCTTTCACCGCTGAGGGCGAGGAGGCCGAGCTCACACGTCAAACGCTCGCGAATACAATTGAGATTTTATATAGGAAGTAATTTGCATGATGGGTTTTCCCTTATATATATATATTGAGAGGGGAGAGGGTTGATATGGGGTATAGAGGGGGAGCGTAGATAATGCGAATGAGTGGATAAAAACACATAGCATGGTGTTAGACATCACTTTACAACTGGCGCGGTAATATATCTCTATATGTACAATAGTCAATTAACAAAAAAAGCCTATTTGCTTTTTGATGATTTGGCGGTCTCAAAAAAGAAAACGAATTTGTCGTAATGGTATAATACTAGAAAATACTAGGAATTGAGTTTCAAATGCATCTCTATAATGTTCTTTTGCTTTTGGGTTTTCATTTTTCTCTTTTATTGATGCAATTAGTTAATCGGAATGCATACACCCATACATAATTTATTAATTTTATTAGCCTAAAGGTTAGGTGTGAATGAAGCGTGATTTATCTTCACAGTGAAGAACTGGTCCAATGGCAACCCTGCATTTGTTATTGGGGACTATTCAGTTTTTTTTTTTAATTGAGTGCAATCGACGATGTTGAATTGTTTATGCAATCCCATGTCCTAAGTCTCAGATCTTTCCCCTATGAGGATACTTCAACTTTCTGTGTAGAATTGATAAAACCAAAATTTACCTCACCTGGGATGGCTTCCCACTGCTTTTCGTATGGAATCCTCCACGATAGATTACGAGCTTAGTATAGCTATTTGTAAAAATCCCCAATCTAACCCTCTTAATTTCAAGTCAGGCTTTTATACTAAAGAATGCACTAGCATTTTTCCCCTTCCGGCATCATGCGGGAAAAAGGTCTAAAACTATGAACTTTTAACTTTTTTTTTTACCATCAGTATTTCGTGTTACAAATATATTTAATTAATTTTCTAGAGAGAATAATATGTCAGTAGTGATATGGATAAATAAAAATGATACATCCTTAGCCATAACATTTATTATTATTCTTCCTTTTGTTTTAACAAAAAACTCGAATGTATTTTGGCTAACCACGACTAACTTCATTTTATTTTTTCCTCCTAAAGCCCCTTGTTGTGTGGGTGTAAAGGCTTTGGATGGCATCCATGCGTTTCTACCCATCGGCCGTCAACTCGTTCGAATCCCTGCCTTATGTGACATCTCTGCCTTTTCACCCTGTCCTTTGTTCTTTCTTTTTTCTGTTAGGTTTTCTGTTGTGGTGGTGTCATTGAATTTCTCCCGCGAGAAGGAAAACAACCGCGCATCGCACGCAAGGCTGGTAGTGGTCCTAATTGTAGCAAACACCCGTTCCCCCCCCCCTCCACAGGATGGATGCCTCCGCGGAGCTCAGGACGGCCGCCCTGGAGGCCTTCCACCCCCTCACCTTCCTCATCACCAGCTCCACCCCCGCCCATGTCAATGTCGATATCCTTATGGACACCCTCAAACAGGACCCCCGCTTTGCCACGGAGATCCTCGAGATCGACGTTCGCAAGCTTCTGGACGGGGTAGGGGCGAACCGGGGGGGCGGCGGACGGCTCACGACGAATGCGGCGAAACCAAACGGGTTAGGCCCTTTCGACGAGACCAATCGCCACACCTTCCTCACGACGCTCATTCGAAACGAGCGCGTTCGACTCGCGGTGGAGCGGGAGGAGGGGCGGCGCGAGGCCAAAGCCCAGCGTGAGGCCGACTTCGCGGAGCTCCTCCGGCAATCCCTTGAGGACGGGCTCACCGAAGCGGAAGCCCAGGCCGCCGCCCAGGCCGCTCTTCAAGACGAGGCCAATAACGAGGAGGAAGAAGATAACGACAACGATGAGGAGGGAGGGAAGGACCCCCGTGAGCGGCTCTTCCTCTGCATCCGGGGCTATCCCAACCTGACCTCGACCGACCAGCTGCTCAGCCTGCTGGAGGCGCAGGTCGGGGTAGACGTCCTGGTCGACGCGCAGTCTGCCGTGGCCCTGCGTGGGAGCCAGGGCTGGGAACGTCAGGCCGGAGGAGGAGGAGGTGGCGGGGCCAGTCCTAGCCCTGGCCAGGGCGGACGGCCTCCCGCGGCGCGGGCCTCCCTCGGCGGTGGCGGCGCCTCGGCAAAGCGAGCGATGCGGACCAGTGAGGCCCCGCCCGAGGCCCCCCTCTCCCGGCAGCTCGTGGCTTTGCAAACGGGAGCGGGAGGGGGGAGTAAAGAAGGCGGAAAGCACCCCCGCCGCCCCGGCCTCCTCGGCGAGGTCCTCGTCTGCGATTACGCCTTCGCAACGGAGACGGCAGACGGGGGAGGGGGGCGAATCACCGCATCGCTCGCGCAGGGCGCTCGGGAGATCCTGACGAGGCTGCGCCGCGCCGAGGCTCTTCTGTATCGTTATCGAGTTTGGGCGGAGCAGCGGCGTGTGATTGAAGTCCCTGCCTACGCCCCCCCACCGCCGGTTCCCCTTCGGCGGCATATGCCATCCGAATCGACTGACCACAACGGTGATCGACGGGTTTCGACGGCCTTGGGGAGGTCAAAAAACGCCATACACTCGAAAAATCTATCAAACATCTCGAACAACGCAGCTTCGGAATTCGGCTCTGTGGTGGAACCCACCGATAGCGTTGATGAGGCGAAAAAGTTGGCTCCCAGTACCATGGCGGAGGTCGCTGTTCGCCGTGTTGAATTCACCCAAAGTCTCGAAGAGCGGCGATTGCAGGGGAGAAACTTTAGAATTCCTGATTTTGTGAAGGCCTGTATTAAGCAGTCCTGCTCAAACGAGGCTTACCTTTTGTCCCCGCAGGAGGTTCAGGAACACGCGCTGAAGCTCGCAAAGGATAATGCCGTACGTCAAGTATGGCGTGAGTTTCAGAAAATCACCGGATTCACGCCAAGCGTGCCGCCCACGACCCCTCTATACGAAAAAGAGGAGATTCCTGAAGAAATTGATCGGGTTTTCCCTCTGCAAGAGGATGGGCGATCGGATCCGGCGGCTTCGAGAGACATTGTTGAGCTCGGGGATACCATGGATTTAGTTAGCCTTGTCAAGAAGGCCTTATCGAAGAATCCGCACTTCACTCGTCAACCCCACCTCACCGTCAATCAGCAGGTCGAGAGGCCCTCTCAGGCCTTACTTTCCGAGGCGCATATTCGCGAGGCCCTTGCGTGTGCGGTCGTGCAGACCGGAAAGGGCGATCTTGGCGGCATGGCGGCCGCCGCGAAAGAGATCCATCAACAAGGCTGGAGCCGCTGTAAGCCCCTCTCCTGCGGCCACGAGGAGGCCTCGTACGTTTTGGATGTCTATTTTAGAGGAGATGGCGCCGGACGCGCGCAGCACCTCACCCACAATTTTACCCATCACACCACTTTTCCAATCTTTATCGCGTGTTGGGAGTTTTGCACGGCGGAAAGCGCCTATTTTTACCCTCCCCCCCCCGATAGCGATGCCGAGGAGGAGGAGGAGGAAGAGGAGGAAAACGACGATGACGACGACGACGACTTTAGCGAAGAGGAATCGGACGAGGAGGAAGAGGAGGACGACGACAATAATTCCGCCTCCAGCACCAACGCGGGTGAAGGTCCATCCACCGCGAAGGAAAGGACGACTTCCAGCGCCGACGCTGCGATGGATCCGACGAAACGGACGCGGCGTAAACGTGAGGCGAAGGCGAACGCCCCCCCGCCGCCGCCGCCGGAGGATCATCTTCGTTTGCAGGGGGAATCCCTCCTCCGGCGACGGGTTTTTGAGGATCTTTGCGGTTATTTACAACACCCACGGCAGCAGGAGTTGGAATGTCGTGGATTGGCCGCGCGATCGGGGGTGGAGTTGGTGGAATGGATGTTCACCGCGGATGGCTGCGCGGTCGTGGTCCAGCGAATGGACGGGAACACCCGCCAGTTGATCTGCAATTTAAGCGATTTTGCGGGATTACGCTGCGGGTATGGCTTTAGTGAAGGGGAGCGAACGCGGTATGAGCAAGGGGAGGTTCGGAACGGCACCCCGCACGGGATCGTCCGCGCCCAAATCCCAAGCAACCTCCAATGTTTCGTCTCCGTCGGCGGAGAGGAGGACGGGGGGGGAGGGAAGCCGATTACGGTGCGCACGGAGGTGGTCGTCGACGTCACCGCGGAGGCCGCCCAAGCGGCCTACGAGCGGGCGGTCATCGCCGCGAAAGAAGAGGCGAAAATTCAATACGAGGCCGTGACCAATCGCCCGGCGAGAAATGCGCGCGGGCGGGAAAAGACCTCGCCGAAGCCGATCACGCTGGCGGAGATTGAGGAGGCTTGTATTGCCACAGTCGCGAAACCGCCGCCGCGGGAGGCGATGCCGCCGATGATGGAGCTCACCGCCATACTTACGCCGTACGCTTGCACGGCGTTATTTCACCCGCAGGAGGCGACAATGCAGCTCTCTCCGGCATCCCCGGGGGCCTTAAACTTACCCATTTGCGTGTGGAAGGAGGATCGCGTGCAAACGCTTCATTTGCGTTCTTTTCAGCACCTGATTTGGTCAACGAGCGGTTTTATGGAGGTGCTTTCCAAAGACTCGGAAGGCTACCGTGTGATGCTCGGCTGCAAAGGGAATTACATCACAACGAAACCGACGGATGGGGTGAGTTTGTGGGTGGATGTAAACGGCAGATGCCTATTACAACGAACCGTGGAGGAAAAGGGAGGAGAAAAGGAGGGCGAGAAAGGAAACGGAAGGACCAATGGCCGTAGTAGTAGTAGCAAATGTCCCACTGTGGTCTCGCAGCTGCAGAGCGGTAGCAACGTCAGCATAGAGCCCCCACTGCAAAATATGATTTTAACCCGACGGGAGGATGGCATTACGATCGTGCGGGATGCTAATCTTGCGATCACGCGAGTGGAGTTTAAATCCACGCACCTCTCCGTCGATTGGCGGCACGAGCAGAATGAGGAAACGGGCGAGGAAGGCGAAGACGTTTGCACGTGGTCGGTTCATGGTCTGCCAGCGATCAGCTGCTGCCCGAATCGTCGTCGGATACGGCTTCATCATGGTGACTCTTACATCATGATTGAAGTCGATTTTAAAGCTCATACGCTGATTCTTTACAAGAAACAAGAACGCAGTGCAATTGTGGATTGGAATTCATACGAAATGGCAGTTTATCCCGTACCTTTCGTCAAAAGCTGTTACGTCGTGGATTGTGCTTTGGGAGGGTTGTACGGTGAGGTTCAGCCACCGAACGATTTATCGCAACGTATTATCTACCGCGTTTCCCCGCTCGGGCGATGCTCAGAAGAGGTGGATGGGGGGCTTGTACTGCCTGCTTCGTACGAAAACGCGCAAGGTCCGCAGCCTCTTGTCAACTATCACGAGGTGTTGAATCGTTTCTTTGTTGATGCTTTTCACAACGCCGGTTTCAGCGATCGGATTCCAAGTTATATCAAACCAAAAGCCCTATTTAATCACCCTTCGTCGGCGAAAAAAGATGAGGAGGATGCTCTTGGCGTCAGACCCGTTGAGATGACCTCCCGCCCATCTTTCTCTCAAAGTGAGGAAATAATGTCAGGTTCGCTTCTTTCCGTTCCTTCCGCGTATACTAAAGATCTTCTTCGCTGTGAATTACGCCAAAGGGATGACAAAGAGGAAAGGAATAAAATCACTGCGACGATTTACTTCTTAAGCCGCCGAGCAATGACAAACCTTGTTTATCACTGGAGCTGCGTAGGAGATATTCTCTCTGTCGAAGGCCCTGTTATAGGCTCTCAAGAAACGAGCATGGATGGCTGCAACAGCTATTTTCTTAGTCTACACAACGCGCCTAGACCTTCTTCGACGAGTGTTTTTATCGAAGACAAACCTTTGTGTTCATCCTATCTGGTCAATAATGCGCCCCCGGCGGGCGAGGATGAAAACTCGAAGAATGGCTCAGACCTTGTGTTAATATTGGAAAGGCAAGGAAAGTCGTATGGTGAGCAGAGTACAGAGTGGATGAGCGTTATGAATGATTCAATATCAATAACACGCCAGCGACTGAAGTTTCCATTGCCTTTTGAAAGTGGTGAATCTACCGGGATAAAATCGTTCAACGAAGGGGTTCCTTCCGATTTACCAAGTAGAAGTTTAGAGACTTTGAAAATCACTGTGAAGATGAGCACGGAAGAAGAGGGCTCGATGGCAATATCTTCCAAATTAGCTGATCCTAGTACCAATCATAGAGATGGTGGTGGGATGGATTCTCCGAGCCTCACAAAATGTGATCGATTGAACTATTGGCGCAGCTTTCCAAATGAAATCCCCTTACCCCCTCCTTCCCCTTCGGTGCCCCCAAAGGCCGCGGAGCCTTGTGAGGAGACGGCGGAGTCAGAGGCCCCTGAGGAGACGACGGCGGATGCCCTTCAACCCCCCGACTCCTCGGAGTCTCTGCAGACCGAGGACGAGAAACTCACCGAACGAGGGGGGTCTCCGTCTTTGCCGTTGCCACGCGGCCCGATCCTCCCTTTGATGCACTCGCGCGCGCACTTCACCGTTGCGCCGCCCCCCCTCCCCCCTCATTCCCACACGGCGCCTTCCCCCGGGGACGCCCCTTCCCCCCCGCGACTCTGCGTGAGGCCGACGAGCGTCGGCTTCGGGGCGATCCCCGCGGGCAGCCGTTTCGCCCTGGCCTTCCACGTCGCCAACCCGGGCCCGACCTCCTGCCGCTACCGCGCCCACCTCCACGCCCTCAGCCTCGGGGGGGTCCCTGTCCCGCTGGGGAAGCGAGGGGGCCCTCCCCCCCCCCGTTCCCCTTTCCCTGCACTACCCCCGCCAGCTCCTGGCGCCCGGGCTGACGGCGCGGGTGGAGGT